CATTCACTGCAGAGCATCCATTGGTAAGCAAGTGATGCAATGCTACATTTCTGCAACTCTGGTCCGATGAAAAGGTGAGTAAAAATTAAGCAGATTTAGTTCAAACTATTAGTTAAAAAAAGATTAACATGCAAAACGTTATGCAATGACAAACATTTTAAAGCATTAGTTCACTCAGAAATGAAAGCTGTGGTCATTTACTCACCCTCAAGTTGATCCAACCACATAATTTTCTTTCTGCATACTAAAAATAGTACAGTTAGTATGGTAGTATGCCATTTAGAGCATTAGTTCTACATGTTCTGAGTACTACAACCAACTTTGGTGAATGGAGGACATAAGGCTCACCTCATTCCCCTTGTTGTGCAGATGTGATCTGGGTGATCTTGAGTGTGGAGGAGGGAGGCCTGCTGGGCGTCACACAGCAGTTATCCTCCTTCGAGACAGAGTTCAACACGCAGCCACACCGCAGTCTGGAGGGAGACTTCAACCCTTTCGCCTCACCACAGAAGAACAAGCAGGACACCAATGAGGATAATCTAAAAGACCCCGGGGGCCACTGGGAGGCCCCTCTGGACTCCATTCAGCAAGATCAAAATGGACTCAATCACAGCTCTGTAAATATTACACCAAATGGTCTCCAAAACAACTTTTCAGTAGTGACTTACAGCCAGGTATGTATGCTGTTTGGAGAATTTCATTGAGTTGAAAGAAGATTAGCATGATAGTAACTAATGTTAACTAATGAACCTTATTGTAAAGTGTTACCGAGCCTTTTTAAAAACAAAAAATCTTACTTACCCCTAACTTTTGAATGGCAGTGTATATCTGTAACAAAATCGTCACGGATATATTTAGAATATTCAGTATCACCCAGCTGTAGGTGTAATTTATGTTAGAATAATGAACGATTATGACTACTCTTCACTAAGATGACAAGTCCAGTTCTGTGATCCTACCACAAATTTTCATGATTGAGCGGCTTTTTCCAAAGGTAAGTGAAGAGGTTAGGCCAAGATGGGTTCAGAAAACCAAGATGAAACACTCAGCAGGTCTTTTCAACACTCTCTCAAAATCTTCCTTTCATGCCAAAAGTCTTCACTGGAAACTTCTCAATGTACTGACTGCCATATGATCTGTTAGCACAGAAGGTCATGTAACAACTGCGTGTCACCCTTTTTTTTCTTCTCTGCCCTGTTTTGTGACGTTTAACCAAAGAAAAGCACATTGTGATGATTCACCGTGTTTGGTTACACCTTTGCTCGTTCCGCACAGCTGGGGCTGGGAGATACAGCTAAAACAGTTTCAGCCTTTTGATGATTCAATAAATATCTCGATTCTGTATATATATCTGCTCTAAAATATCTTATAAAGGGTGATTTTGTGGCGTTTTCATTTATATTTTGACTCGACAGCCAATGTCTTTAAGCATATGCAACATTTAAAGGGGTCATATGATGCTGCTAAACAGAACATTATTT